CCAGGTCTGACAAAAGCAAGGGGGGACTTTCTTTTCTTATACTTTTGCATCAGTTAAGTCACTCAGTAATTTGGATTGCATTTCCATATGTTTTTTATTTGATTACTGTGTGAATGCTTATTGCTTACTTTGCTTTTGTTTTATGTTTTTCTTGATACTTACTGAAAGCTCTAAACCCAAATAAATGACAGGTTCAGTAAAAACTCAATCTTGCTTTTGTGCTGCAAAAGCCCATTCAAGGCTTCATAAGCCCCTCAAAATTGATTTTTGGATCCCTGTTATTTAATCTGTCCTTTACAAAACTTTAATGCCTTGAGCAAATCCTTCTTGCCTTATTCCCACCACTAGGCACTTTGACTTCATGGTAAGCAGATAAATGTGAGACAAAAAATGCTGTTCAGACTGTTCCCCCAGTCCCTAGTAATTCTCTAACTTGTCTATTCTCCCCTTCTCATTATTGAATACAGCCTCCTGTGTAAACACTACTTTTTGTGCTCCCATGGCACACAGACGTTTTCCCATCAGTTGCTTGCTCTCCCTCACCTGCTCCATCTGACTCATTAGTTCAGCTTCAGCTTTGCTTCACCTATTCATTCCCCAAAGAATTATATATATGGCCCTGTTCTTGTTCTCAGCATCCTTTCTCTTCACATATCTACCGGGCCTGCAGATAATATCATGTAATGTTCCCCAGGCTCAGTGGCTCCAATATTTTCTTGCCGGGTTCAGTCTTTAAAAGGAGGTCCGTGGCAGAGACGACAAAGGGAATCTGCAGGCTGACTGTGGCCCAGTCAATATATTAATTCAACCTTCTTGTCAGCTTACCGTTACATTGTCATTTGAACTGCTGCCAGCCATAACAACCTAATGCAGTGCTCCAACACCACAGCTTTTGCATGTGGGACTGGCTGCAAAATAACATCGACTGCATTTGAGTCAGTTCTTTTTGCACAACACCCTTCTGAGAGTTTACTGTCAGCCGTTAATTTACATGCAAAGGAGGAGGCAGAAGGAAATCCAGTAAAACGGAATGCAGAAAAAATCGTGTTCTGACTTTGCACATTTTGTATGCCTGGCCTCAAGTACCATATGGCCCTGACTACAGGTGCAGTTTGATGCTGTTGCTGTATTCAGAGCATTTGGGTTCAGCCTGCAAGGTGACAGGAAGCTTAAAACTGCCCTTAGTCAGGGGTTCACTTGTCTCAACCTACTTGGAAAGACCCGTGTTTGAAGCACTGTTTTTTACAGAAGTTTTAGTATCAAATAACCCCTCTATCCTCATTACTTTGTCTTTTCTTTATTAAAAGTTTTCAATGAAGAACACTAGCTAAGGTAGCTAACTGGAAAGAAGCAAGTAACTAAAATTATATAAAGACTGAAGTACTAGCAGTTAATGCTGGCCATAAGTAGCTTGAAGTAGTTAGTACTGTCTTGCACGTTATTTATATTGTAATGTCCTTTAAACAATAACTCAGTGGTGATTATGTTGTTATCTGTCTCCTAATGAAATGCTTGTCCCTAACAGCTGTACCGTATATATGTTATATCAATTTTTCCAGAACTTTTTTATAAAACTCAAGCAACAGAGGAGAAAAACAGCTTAAATATCTTTAAAATGTTCACATTAAGGACTTCTCTATGTTTGGGGTTTTTTTTGTTATTCATTTGACTGAAGAGCCTTATGGTTTGAGCAATTGTCAGATACAAATTGTAAGGTGGACCTTGGTTTGACTGAAATCAACAGCAAAGCATCCATTGACTTAATTTTACCCCAGAGGAGGTAAAAGGCAATTGGAAATGGATGGGCAAAGAGCAGAGGGATTGTGACTCCAGCCACAGAGTGGCTTCTGGGTTTTTGTCTGGTATCTTTTTAAACTCTTAAAAAAACTGAAAACGATTTGTAGCTACAATTTGTGGCAGAGTAGACATAAGCAATACTAATGCAACATGGCACTTCAGCTCAGGAAAGCTGCATACCTGGTGTGTTAATGTGACACCAGTCCAACACGCAAGTGACTTCAGCTACCCAAAACCACAGCGATCCTCTACAAAGAGAGTAAAGTACTTGCGTTGTCTCAGTGCTAGCAGGACATGGAAATTAGTTTAGTAATAAACGGAAAGGATGGCGTCCAGAGATTAATTAAAAAATACTGGAAATAAGTTGACAAAATTTATAAATAATTCCATCTCTGAAAGAAAAAAAAAAATAGTTGGTAATTTCTGCTGTGGAACAAATGACCTTGTGATTTGCCAGCAGCTTTCTCACACCTACAGTCCTGTTAAAGAGTGTGCAGAGGTTGGGCATTCTAGGCAACTGTATGTAGCATGGACTTTCTCCTTGGATTTTTTTTTTTTTCAGAACATGGTTGCATTTTAAAACTTTTCTGGATTAAGATTTTTTTAACCTTTTTTCACTTTGGGTGATAGTTTTCCAGAGATGACTCAAAATACTGGCAAGAGGAGTGTTCAGTGACAATATTCAGAATTTCGGATGCATGCTTTCCAGCTGTCTTGTTATTTCTGAACTGTCACTAACATTTTATTCAATTTTTAACACTTAAAACATGATTTCAGTTTCACTGTAATAGTAAACACCCCACTAAAGCTGTGTTTCATAACAGCAAAAGTAGCTATTAATGCAGAGATTTGCAAGGTGTTGCTTTTATATGCCAAACAATACTGTGTGTATACATGTGTGTGTGTGTGTTTGTTTATTCAGGACATTATTGCATGAATGGTTTTGTAAATAGTGGCCTGGATTTCAGTCTTATTTTCACTTGCCTGGCTCTGCTGTGAATGGTGTAGCTATTCCTGGCTTAGACTTGTAAATAACAGGAGAATAATGCTACCTGTGCATTAGACATACAGCTAACTTCTGTACAAAGCTTATCATGTGCCATAATGGTGTCAAAATTACCAGTGAAGAAGTAATCATTTCTCTATATCACCCAGTTCAGTATCTATTGAGGTGTTTGGAAAGCCAACTTGTTCCATTAAATACCAGCTGCTTCAAAAGCTGAACCTGTCTTGAATCATCAATGCCATCACCAACTTAGCACCTTCTAATTATTTTGAAATACTCTGGAAATCTGGTCATTGTCTTTATTTCTCCAATTATATCCTTGTACGTGCAGCAGACAATAGATTTTGTGACCATATAATATGCCTATTCATATTAAACGACCAAAACACAGTTGTGACTTCATCAGTTGCAACTCGGCATCACTATTATGGCTTCATGGAGAGAAATGGGGCTCTGGACAGTTTTGCTTTTTTGTTGTTTGTTTTAGTAGAAATACAAATCTATCTGTTAAGAAAAAATGGCAGGAGAAACAAGAATCAATATAAAGCTTCCACTCAGGTTCTGTGAAGGTCGTATTCTCTGTATAACCTGGCATATGCTAAGCTTTTAAGTAAGTGTTTCTGAAGTACCTTGCAGCAGTTTAGCTCTATGTGCCATCCAGTTTTCGCTATAAAAGTGGCCAGCCTGATCATCTTCCACCTCATGAGGCGAGGCAAACTCCTTTAGGCAAAATTTATTGTGAGGAGAAACAAATTCCTGAAGTCAAACGGGCCAAGTATCTTGTTGACAAAATTGCCAAGTAAAGTATATACCGATATTTATTTTTTAAGAGAACATTTGGTTGCAGCTAAAACATAAAAACACCTGAATCGAATTTTCTGCATATGAAAACAAGGAAATCGGGGAACTGATGCTATTTTAGGCTAATTGCATTTTGTTGGGTTTCGGGGGAGCACTACATAGTAGCAACTGTGGGAAAACCACTAAATAGTTCTCTGTTTGAGCCATCTGTCACGAATATGGGACATATGTTCGCTTTGTTTATTCAGGAGCCAAGTGGAGGCCGATACACCCGGCCCGGCCCGGCCGAGAGCCGGCCCGCACCGCGCCCAGCACCGCGCCCAGCA